ATCATTATTTCTAGTTTGTTGTCTATTGTCTTTGTTTACCATATCATTTAATTGTCGTTTGTTATTTTATCCTTTTTTTTCTTATTCCCCTTCCTCTCCTCTCCCTCTTTCCCCCTCCCCCTACCATTTGTTTTTGTTTGACTCGTACGCGGTGAAAAAAAAAAAAAAAAAATTTAGGTAGAGTGTGGCAATGCATATTAAACATTTTCTTCTCTCGTTCCTTTGTCATTCTTTTTACCATCAATGAGAGAGAGAGAGAGAGAGAGAGAGATCAACCCGTTTGTTTCTTAACAAACAAAAATCTTACATAATCTTTCCTTTGTGGTGGTTGACATTATTTAAGGTGGTTGGAAAAAAAAAAAAAAAAAAAGGAAGAATAAGACCAAGGATATGCCCGAAATTATTAATTTTTTTTTTTTTTTTTGTCTAACAAAGGATTATGTATGCAGACGAAGGTGTGTGTGTGCGTGGAATTTTTTTTCTTTTTTTTCTGTCTCGGGTTAATTTTAAAAAAATTTTTAAATTTATTCATAATGTCGTTTCGTTTTTTTTTTTTTTTTAAAATTCTATAAGGATAAAATCTTTTATAACTAACTAATAATAATAATAATAATATTTGTAGAATTTTCGGCGTTTATAACGCACGCGTTCGTGCAAATTTTTTTTTTTTTGGAATCGAGTCAAATTTTTTAAATGGCGGATGTAAATTTTTAAAGGAGAGAAATTTTTTTTTTAAATTTATGATAAATAATTATAATATGAAATAATAGGCGAAAAAAAAGCAGAAGATAAAGAGAGAGAGAGAGAGAGAGAGAAAGAGAGAGATTAAAAAAAAAAAGACAAGGGGCAAAAAGTTGACAGTAATTATTTTTTAAATCTAAAGAAATTTATTTACTCGCACGTTGATTTATTATGTCGCAAAAAAATTAAAAAGGGAAAAATGTCTTTCATATTTTGTCGCAAAAATGCAAAAAAAAAATTCTTTTTCTTTTGCTTTCACTTCGTTTGATTATATAATATTTGGGGTAAAAATAAATAATAATAATAATAATCGCGAGATGAAAAGGAATTTTCTGTTACGAACTTGATACGGGGAAACAAATTTAAATTTCCCGCCCAAAAATTTTAGAAAAAAAAATTTTTTTGATACGTTTTAAATAATTTTTAAATTTCCCGCCAAAAACTAACCCATTTTAGACGTTTATAAAAGTTATTATATTAATAAAAATAATTAATTGTTGTTTTATTTGTCGCAAAATTTCAAATGATTATTATCGTTTAACAAATGAAAACCGTTTTGGGGGTTAAAAAAAAAAGCGCGGGAAAATAAAGAGAGAGAGATAGAGGGGGGGGAGAGGGAGGTATTTCCCACTTTTCGTTTAATATAAACGTTTCCGTAATTTTACGTAATAAAAAAAAAAAAAAAAAAACTTTCACCGGAAAATTTTGCAAAGAAAATCCACAATAATTTTAATTTAAACGACATTTTATTATTATTATTATTATTATTATTATTATTATTATCATCATTACGTTCGTGAGATGACGGCGTAATTGCTGTATGAAGGAAAGAGAGAAAGAAAGAAAGAAAAAAAATTTCATTAATGTGACAGTTTAAAAATTATAACAATTTTTTTTTTTTTTTTTTTATCATTTCGTTCATTTTCACCATTTCACAATTTACACCGTAATTTTTTTTACGTCGGTTAAATTTTCATAGAGGAAGAAAAAAAAAACGAAAGTCGTAGTTGTGACGTTGTTGTGACGTCACAACTACGTCACACTAACCCTTAAACACATTCGATCGGGGGGAAAAATGAAGTCAGAGAAAACAAAATGGCGGGAAATGTTTTTTTAAGTATTGCCAACTTTTGAATTTACGTGTAAAGCAACGTACACGATTAATTTCTTTAAAATTTAAATTTTTTAACGGATTTTCCTAATAGAATTTTAAATAATAATCGGGGATAATAATAAATTTTAGAAAAAAAAAAAAAAAAAAACAAAAAGTTTTAAATTCATTATCGATAAATATACCATCAATCTGAGAATTATTAAAATATTTTTTAATCTTTGTTCAGTCGAGTGTACGATATTATTGATCGGTTATCGATCGATTTATTATTATTATTAATTTTCCATTTCAAACGAGGACAATACATTTAAAAAAAAATTCTTTTCTCACATTTTGTAAATTTCTTCAACGCGCACTCCCACGTCGAAAATTGGAATTAAAAAAAAAGTTATTATTATTATTATTATTATTATTATTATTATTTGTGTTGCCGTAAATAAATATCTATATCTATTTTTATAAGAAAAAATTTCGTTTTTTAAGTAAACCTGATTTAAAAAAAAAACTAAAACTAAAATAAATGAGATGAGAGAGAGAGAGAGAGAAAAAGAGAGAGATGCGTGTGCGTGTGCGTGTGTGCGTGTGTGCAACATGTCTTGAAACCAAAATAGAAATTGTTGGATGGAAAAAAGATAACTCGTATATAATAAATGATTCGTTTCACGGTTTCATTTTTTTTTTTTTTTTTTTTTTTTTTTCGTATCAGTAGGGAAAAAACAGGGAAATAAATTCGGGATTTTTTTCATTTGCCGTCTTTGCCGTCTTTTGTAATGTTTTTTGCCGTCTACCCAAAAAAAAAAAAAAAAGAAAAAAAAATTTGAATATTATGGAGTGTTGTGAACCCGCTGTGAAAATAATTTATATAAATATATTTAGTTATTTTGATTATTGGATTTGTTAAAATAATTTACGTGTGTTTTAAGAAGATTTTTTCTTTTTTTATTATACTACTCGGTCTGCAAGTTTTTTTTTAAAAACATTTTCGTGAGGATTAAAAAAAAAAGGGAAAAAAAATTTTTTTGTCTATCCGACGTCATATTTTTTCCCTTTTATTTTGTTGTTGTTGTCATTTGTAATAATTGGATACGATGAAAAATTTAAACAAGGCGGTGCTTTTTTATATATGTAATTTCGTAACTTCCGGTCGGGAGGAAGGAGACAAAAATGGCGGCGGATTTAATTTAATTTTTTTCCCTTTTACTTTTCTGCTGCAGTCATTTGTAATGGTTGGAGTTGATCAAAAATTTCGATTTAAACAAGGCGGTGCTTTTGTATACGTAACTTCCGGTCGGGGAGGGGGAAACAAAATGACGGTGAATTTAATTTAATTTTTAAATTTAAACCGATTATTTTAAAAAAAAAAGTGAAATTATAAAATTTTTATTTTTATTTTTATTTCGCATAATTTTTCATCGTGGATTTTTTTTTTATTTTTCACATAAAAAAAAAAAAAAAAACACTTTCTATTTTGCTCTCAATGACCGAAATAAAAAATAAAAAAAACGGTTAAATAAATTGTCAAGACATTTTTTTCTATATAATAATAATAATAATAATTACCTTAATAACGACTATCTGTCACACGAACGACCGCAAATTATTATCGTCGTCGTTATAATTATCATTATCATTATTATTATAATTAATTTGTTAAAAATAACGATGCGAGGATATTAACGGTGAAAAAATAAAAAAATAAGTCGAACTAAAAATTTCTATTCTATAAATTCTGAATTTTCTAATGACACGACGAGTCGCGTAAAAAAAATTAAAAAAAAATATATTTACGAGTGACGTATGTACTAAGTCGTTAACGTAAAATTATTATTATTATTATTTATTTTTTCCGTTAAAAAAAAAAAAAATCCGATCGTCACGAATCGTAAATCCGTGCGTCAATAAATACATAAATTTATTAAAATAATAATAATAATAATAATAAGGGATAAAATATAATGAGAAATTCGATTCTTAGGGAAAAATATTTTGTCCAGGATTTTGGAGAAAAAAAAATGGATACGAAATGAATCATAGCGATGATGATGATGATGAGTCCTGGAGAAATTCGTTTTATTTTTTTATTTTTTTTTTGGGGGGGAGGGAGGGGGGGGTGAAAATTCTTCCACGATCCGCCACGATTAATCGATGATTTATATTTTTTTGTGTGTGTGGAGTCGATTCGATATCGAATACTATTTTTCTTTTGACACGATTATTTTAAATTCCACGTTTTTACATATAGAAGAGTTAAAAAGAAATTTTCAAAAAAAATAAAAATAAATAAATAAGAGTCTCTCTCTCTCTCTCTCTCTCTCTAATTTATCATATGAAATGTTATGAAATAATAAAAACAAACCGAAATTGGCATGAAAAACCATACACGTGTGCACGTGCGTTGAATATATACGAGAACATTTGATTTATTGCCAACCACAAAATGCTTTCACTCGAGGCCATTTAATATACGCATTGAAAACAAAAACTCAGGAAGGAAAAATATCTTATGATGCTGTGAGAAATACCTACTAGAAATTTTTCTTCTTCCTTCTTCTTCCCCGTATATCGTACCTTATGATCATCATCATTATCATCATCATCGTAGTGACGTTTAAGGGTCATCGTCTTAATTTTTGTAACATTATTCCCGTTTTAGTAAAAAAAAAGTAAACTTTTTATTTATAAACGATACGATGAAATAATTTTAATATCGTTTTTGTCTAATGACACGATTTTAAAAACTCCTCTCGTGGATAATAAACAAAAGAAATTCATTTAAATTTCGTTTTCATAAGATAAAACGATGAATTTGCAAAAAAAAAAAAAATTTTCTTGTCATATCAAATAATAATTTAATTATTATTATTATTATTTCTTTCTAGAAAGAAAAAGAAAGAAAAAAAAATTTAAGGAGCATCTTTTATAAAATGTTACGCATTTTTTTTTTTTTTATTACGTTTGTGACGTAAAAGTAATGCCGGAAGTTTATTTAAAAATTTACGTCTACCGATGATATTATTATTATTATTATTATTTTGTTTTTCCAGGACGTATTAATAAAATGAAAGAGTGGTCATTGACGAGTAATGACTGGCTGGCTAACGAAGGGAAAAAAATTTAAATATATAAAACGCTCATGGAAAAAACTATGAGATTTGGATCACAATGGCGTATTATTATATTCGCCCTACTGACTATAGTGTCAGCAGATGATATAATACAGGAATCGATAAAAAGTTCCCGGTTCAAATCACGGACGCATACCCGTCTAGATATGAGCACCGAATTTTTTATAATACCATCGAAAAGTGAAAAAAGTACAACAACAATTGATTCGAGTACTAATACTGCTGCCGTCGTGGTTGTTACCAGAAGAACTCCGACATGCACACCAGGATTGATAAAATCTGACGTACCGTGCGTGCCTTCGGTTCATCAACTTAAAAACAAAACGGACGATCCATATTTTACACCTTTAAACGACTCAACAGTTCTACGACAGGAAGGATGGGTCATACCACTGTTGGTCCTGTCGTCGCTGACAATGATCAGCATCGCAGGTTTCGAAGTGTTCGTTTTGTGTAAAGCATGGAGAACTAGCCCTTCGCGACGTCATTTGTTTCTCGGGCAAATGTTATTGCTCGGTTTATTTTTATGTGCCGGTCTCGGTGGTGTCGTGACGGTGTCACCAAACGTTGTCTCGTGTGCGACCGTAAGGTTCGGAGTCGGTTTGGCATTCGCCATTGTTTTTTCAACGCTACTCGTTAAAAACGTTTTTTTAATTAGTTTAAACAGTGGTGTTTATCTTCCGGCTCCATATCAAGCTTTGCTATTGCTTTTCGCGGTACTCATTCAATTGGTTGTGGACGTGCAATGGTTGGTCAATTCTCCGCCGAAAATCGACGTTATGAAATTCGAAGGACTGTCTTCGTTACATAGGAAAAAACTCGTAGTTACCGCTGATGATCTCCTTTTCGATACTTCGAATTCGGTGTCAGTGTGTCACACGCCTTACACTGAGATATTGATGTCTTTGATATACGTAGTTTTTTTAATTGTTTTCGTAGCCATATTGGCCATCAAATCGAGGGGTATTCGTGATAATTATCGCGAGGCAACATATATCGGACTATCCGTCGGATGCATCATACCAATGTGGATGATATGGGCAATAACGGGTTTAGTTTTATCCGAACGTCACAAAGATGCATGCATAGGTTTCGGTCTTGTGTCAACATCGGTTATTATTTTTTTAATTATGTTCATGCCCAAAGGTAGGCAATTAGCTGCCATGGGTAAGGATGGAGTTTATGTGGAAGATCGCGAAGATAGATTCAGTACTTTGACACCCGCTGGAAGCGGTTATTCTCCATCTTTTTTTCATTTAAAACCATCCAAATATGGCATGGTCAACGACAATATGGTGCCAACGTTGACAACTCACAAGACTAATCCATCAGCAGCCACGTCGATCGGAGGTAATTATTATTATTATTATTACATTTTTAGCATGTTTTTTTTTTTTTTTTTTTTTGCTTGAAAATTTTCAATTTCACGGCTCTGGAAAATCATAAAATACAGCAAAGAATAGAACAAAAAACTTTTTTTCGATTCGATCGATTCAGGTACATTTTGTATTCTATTTACACTTCGGATTAATGGACCGTAAAAAAAAATAAATCAATTATCATTATTATTTATCAGTGAGAACCACCATCAATTTTTTTTTCAATCATTAATTTCAATTTACTCAAATCCGAAGGGATTTTATTTACTAATAAATATCAAACTATATCTATATATCTATAGTCTATAATCTGATCCCGTAATTTGATTTAAAAAAAAAAATTTTTTTTATCACATTAAGAAAACTAAAACCCATCATCAACATCATCATCATCATCATCATCATCAACACCAACGCCCTATCATTTTTTATTCAAAAAAAAAAAAATTTCGACCGGAAATAGATTTTTTAGCGGGAGTTGTGGTGTCCTTTTTTTTTTTTTTTTGATATCTCAGGAGAAATGCAGATTACGCACTGACCCCTCCGAAGAGGGAGTGTGGGGCTCGGTATGGATTCAAAGAAAGCCTAACCGGGAACCATACCCACTAAAACTCCTGAGCATGTCGCAATAGCGTGGCTTATGTGAAGAGGGGGGGACGGTCGTTGGGGTAGTACCTAAATTGCAGTCAGTCCCCTCTTCGGGAAGCCAGAACGTTAACCGTTCCACACGTTTACAGTGGTGAGAGATCCGCCATAGTCTCCGTTCCGCCGTCACCTCGAAGACGAGAACGCATCTCTCGGGACGTTCGGCAAGTCCCTTTCGGGAGTGTCCTCCGGTCCCTAGCACGGGGGGAAAAGGGATGGGAAACTCGCCTGTTTCCTGAGAATGCGATCGGGGGGGGGGGGGTGATAGACTTACCGTCGTCACCTCAATAGGAATCAAGCTAAAAGTTAAGTGTTAGTTGATCGCGTCCTCTAATACTAAGGGTGATCGGGATTGTGGAGAAAAGACAGACGAGGGATCGTCCGGGATCGACGAACCCCCAAGAAATGTTAGAAGTAAGAAAAGAACTTGACTTACCGGCGACGAAGCTAAGTTTGTCGCCGTACTCCACAGTAATCAGACGCTGACCTTTTCCTCTTCACCGTCGCCGCCGCCGCTTTTCTTCTTTTTACTTATTTTCTGCAGCACGCGACGCCGAACTCCGGATTTTTCCCGTTCGCGTTCGCGGTCCTCTTTCGTCCGAAGGACCGCTTCCGAAAATCGCGAGATCGCGGACCATTCCCGAGGTCCGCGGAGCAACCCGTTCACTAAACCGCGTATCGAAAAGTCGGGTCCGATGACCTCGACTAGCCGCTGCCTGTGATCGTCCCACGTGGGACATGTCGCGATCGTGTGCTCGACGTCATCCTCGGGCGCACCGCAGAATCAACACTCCGCCGTCTCCTCTCTGCCGATGCGCGCCAAGTACAAGCCGAACACCCCGTGACCCGTGAGGACCTGATGAGACGATAGGTCAAGTTTCCGTGACCTCGCGAGCGAAGTTCCCTGCGGTGACGAGCTGTCCTAGGCCCGTCGCCATCCCGTTCGCGATAGAGGACGAGTCTCTCCATCGCGAGGATATCGAGCGGGGGAGTGCCCGACAGAAGGCAAGACACCTCCGCCGCGACGTCCCTGTACGCCATCGCCACCTTGTTCAGAGACGCCTTTTGGAGTTGGATTGCCTTCTCGCGAAGAGGCCGAGCTGCCGAAACCGAATCGACCCAGATCGGAGCTCCGTACAGGGCCACAGAGTGAACGACCGTCGCGTATAATCGCCTGACCTGCGGTCCGCGCAGGTTCGGCATCAGGCGTCCTAACGTCGCACTGACGGCTGGGATCTTCGGTTCGAGGTGCGCCAGATGTTCCCCGAAGTGAAGACCGGAATCGAGAACTAAACCCAAGTATTTCAGCGAGCCACCTAATCCGATTCTCACGTCGTCCACGGTTAACGATAAGTCGCGAGGACGCGGGTTTCGCGGACGATGAAACCCGCACGCTTCCGTCTTCGGCAGAGACACCCGGAGACCGGTGTCCCGGATGGCCTTCACCGTCGCGTTAAGTCCCGTTTCAGCGCGTTCGCGAACCTCCGCCCACCCGCGACCGGTCGCGAGGAGCAGAGTGTCGTCGGCGTAGCAAGTCAGAACGGAAGAACGTCGAAGGAAAAGAAAAAAGGAAGAACGGTCCGGGTGAGGACGCGGTCGTAGGCGATGTTCCACAGGAGTGGTCCTAGAACCGATCCCTGAGGCACGCCGCAGAACACGTCCGCCCTTCCCGTCGTTCCGTCCGGTTTCTCGTACGCTATCTTCCTCTCCGAGAGGAAGGACCCTATCACCGACGCGAGATAATCGGGCACGAACTTCGACGTTAGCCCGTCCCTTATCGCGGACCAAAGTACCGTGTTAAACGCGTTTTTGATGTCGATGGAAACGGCGACCGCGACGTCGCCCCGACGAAGTGCATCCCGGATTCCGGCGCACACGCGGTCGAGTTCGTCGCTCGTCGAACGGCCCGCCGGGAAGCCGTACTGATTTGGAGAGAGGTCGTTCCTCCCTCCCCCTGATCGTAAGTGTTCATCGATCCGGGACGCTATCACGCGCTCGAACAACTTGCCCTCCACATCGAGAAAACAAATCGGCCGATACGCGCTCGGCGTCGTCGGATCCCTACCCGGTTTGTCCAGCAGTACCAAGTTTGTCACGCCTCTCGGAAGCATGCGGTGTAGAGCGCCGAGAAACGCACACACAGCACCCCGGCAGACTTACCGAGTATGCGGTAATGCACGCCGTTCGGGCCCGGAGCCGAGCGTCTCTTCGAGGCCGCGTCGAGGAGAAGGCGAACCTCCCCCTCCGTCACTTCGGTGTCGCGGTCGCGGTTCATGTCGTGTGAGAGATCCGGCGGGGGAAACGCGAACGGCTCGACGCGAGGGAAGAGCTCTACGATCACTTCGGCGAGAAACTCCTCCGTCATGCCGGCCGTCAGCGGTCCCGACAAACCTCTCAGCTTGTTAGTCACGAGACGAAACGGGAGACCCCACGGGTCCGAATCCGCTTCGCTCAAGAGTTCTTTCCAACACGCCTCCTTGGAACTCTATATCGCTCGCCGGACCCGGACCCGCGAAGCCCTCCACTCTGCCTTTAAACGCGCGAGTTCGTCGTCGTTCGCGATGTCCTCGTAGCGTCCTCCCCGTTTGATCAGTTGTCTTTTTTTGCCGACGAATCGGCGACGTGCGAGACAGGACTCTTTCCACAATTCTCCTATCTCGTCCGTCCACCAGTACTTCGCCCGTTTCCGAGTCGTCGAGCGCGAGCCGATTCTCTTTATGCAGGAGTCCGAGATCCGTCGTAAGTCGTCCCGAACTCCCCGCGCCATATCGTGTGCGCTTCGTCTTGTCGGGTCTGGAGCAACGTCGTTTCTCCAGGCCTCTACCGCGAGACACTCGGCGGGCCGTTCGTCGTCGAATGACTTCAGACTCCACCGGGGCGGGACGACGCGAGGTTTGTCCAACGAGGAGGCTGCCCCCCGAGCTCCGAGGATCCCCAAACGAGAATGCCACTTAGGCTGATCGATGAGGTGATCGCTGAAAGACTCGAAGTCGGAGAGGACCTCCCAGTCCTCCCAGCCGCCGCCAAACCGGACGAAATCGTGAGATAGATCGTGGACCCGCCGGTGGATCGCACGCACGTCTTCTCGCCTTTGGCGTTCCACACGATGAGATGGCGCTCGTCCAACCATTGTCTTAACAATCGGCCGCGCGTGTTAGTCGCGTAACCTGACCACGATGTGTGTTTCGCGTTGAAGTCCCCGGACACGAGAATCGGACGCGGGGCGAGTTCCCGAACCTTTCCAGCACCCTCGCAATCGCCCGCAACAGATCATCGAATGCTCGCAGCGGACGATTTGGCGACGCGTATACCGATACCAGGACCGAGTTTCCCCAGCCCGTGGTCTCGGACCCGGCGCCGAGCTCGAGAAGAAGATCATGGCCGCGCCGTCCTCGGATACAAACCAAGTGCCGGCGCGACAACCCCCTCCCCCCGACGGAACGACGTGGGGCTCCGAGATCATCGCGATCTCGACGCCCCACGTCACTATCAAGTTAAGCAAGAAGTTCTGAGCCCCCTTGCACCTATTCAGATTTATTTGGAAAAACCTACCCATGTTCATAGAGAACTACCGGCGGAGCCGTTCGTTCCCGGCTGACACGCGGAGGCTGCCCTCTAACGTTTCCCCCCCATGTTCTTGGTATCGGATCCCCACCGAATGGGCCTACCCCTGACGGCCGTTGCCCCGCAGGAAGACCCACCGAGCCGGTGATGTGCCGGCCGGCCGGCCTCCGAACAGGGAGCGCAGCGGACTTTATTTGCGCATTCGCGCGCTCAGTGCCTCTCTCTACCGCACTTGAAGCAGCGGTCCAGCGCCGTTTCCTCCCTCTCCCTGATGTTGGGACAACATGAGCCTACATGTCCCGGATGTAGGCACCTGACACAGATGGTCCTGCGCTTCGGCAGCAGGACCACCTTCGCACGCACCCACCCGACGACAACCGCGCCCGCCTCCAGGAGTACGGACGCGACGGCCGCCGGAACGGATGCGTACGCCGACGAGTATCGATGTGGGCCTCCGCCGGTCGGGAAGCGCACAGAGAGAGTGGTGGTGACCTCCTGTAATCCAACTACTTGGAGGCTAGGTGTAGATGATGTTTTAAGGGCAGGGATTCTGGGATTGGATTTTCCACATTGACTAGGGGAAATCTTCAACTTAAATGCCTTGGGGGAGCCCTAGTTAGCCAGGTTGAGCTTGAAAGGGGAAAAAATTGGCCGAAAAATCACCGAGTTGAGAGTCGTGAGTTCAAATCCTGGACGTGGGAGTTCAATTTCAGCTCGTCCAAACAAGAACAGACCTGTACCTACCAAATGACCTTGAACCCTTTCGAGGCATTGGGGATGCGCTGACCCTTGTTCGAGACCTTTGTAACTGGGTACTTGATTCAAATAGGGAAAATGCAGAGTTGTGAGTGAAAGGAAAACAGATGATAGATTAATGGGATTCGCGACCCCAGATATCTCTCCCTCTTTCCCTCCGGACACACGCAGACTCTCCGGTAGAGGCAGGAATGATAGTGACATTTCGGGACTGCCTCTCGAAGAGTAAGTAGTCCCGGAAGTACCGGGATCTTTCTCAGGTGGGATTCCTACTTTTGCGTGTGTGGACCTGATACTTCTGACTCAGGAGGAGGTTGAGGCTGAAATGCGAGTTAAAATTCGCTCGCGAGCACCCCTTCCTCCAGGAAAGAGAGCACGGTGAAACACGTCCAGGAGTTTTAGTTGGGTAGTGGTTTCCACTGAGTCCCAAACTCTCCCTACTACCGGGTGGGGAGGTCAGTGCGAAATGCTGCATTTCTCCTGGATTTCTTTTCCATCTCTCTCTCTCTCTCTTTACCTCCACAAAAAAAACAATATTGGGTATCGACCGGAAACGGAAGACATAACGTGTAAAAGGTTAACACAAAACTTTATTTGACGATCGACACTGACAAAGAAAACTAATTAACGTTAACAAATGATTTTCCATAATCATTATTCGCTTTGGTTTAACGCCTCCTTTGTCAAAGGAAACGGAAACGGGGGGTTTGACAAAAGAAAAAGACAAACTTATAAATGATGATGATGATGATGATGATGATGTGGACGCTTTAGAACGTAATTAACTTTCGTGAATTTTTTTTTAACCAGGTTACGGTTATTATTATTATTATTGCTGTAGGATGACGCCGTGAATTTAAAAAGAGAAAAAAGAAAAAATTGTAAATTATGTACATATAAGGATATTTTTTTGGCACTTTTTATTTACAGATCGTATGGCTTTGGTAGCAGCACCTCCCAGCTACACTAGGATGTATCACTACTACCCTCCAAGTTCATATTATCAAAGTTTCTATCCGCCCCGGTACCCAGGTGGGCATGACTTCTACCCAAAAAGTACTTTCACAGCAACAAGATATCACAATCAATATTTTGCAACATCCATAAATTCTCTTAAATGTTAATGAATAAAAATCGACCATTTTTTTTTTCGAATTCGTTTTTTTTAAAAATTATTATTATTATTTTCCCAGGTGGGTTTGTTGTTATTGTTGTTGTTATTCCTTTAAGGTGTTTGTCTATTTCCGGTTTTTTTTTTTTTTAAACTCGGTGATGGGTACATGTCGCACGCACACACGCACACACACACACGTCATTTATTTATTAATAGACTAATTATTATTTATAAAAAATTAACAACTCGTTAGTTAGATAATTATTAACGTTCATTTTAAATACTAATTACTTCCGGTTATAATTATTATTATTATTATTATTATCTTTTCAGATGTTTTAATCAAATACGACGATGGGATTTATTATCCGTCACAAAAGCCAACATATTCCAGTAATCCGAATGTTTTCTTTCAAAGGAATCAAATACACACTGGAATATTATATTGAACTGACTGACTTTAAAACAAAAAAGCAGAAGAAATTAAAACGATGATAATAATGATTACGAAAACAATAACAAAAAAAAAAGAGACTGATTTTTTTCTATTGGATTTCGGTATTATAATTAGAAGTAACGTGATATATCGTTTTACCGGAAATCATCGCCTCGTACGATAAATATTGATTTGTACATTTTTTTTTTTTTTTTTATTAAAATTAAAAAAAGGCAAAAAAAAATAAGAATAAATGAAAAAAAAAAACATTTTTTAAGTCTGAATAAATAATAATTATAATATAATTATTCAAAATAATAATAATGATAATCGTTTTCATTTTTTTTTTATCCTTTCGACATTTCCTAAAAAAAAACAATCATTTTTAAGAGTATATGTAATTGTTGATGCATTTAAGTTTGACAAAAAGACTATTCTTTTTTACTAAGGCGTCAATAAAATTTTTATAATTTATTTTCAATAATTGAAAATGTTTTATACAACGAAATTTTAAAGTCATGTAAATTTTCGGTTTGAAAATTAATTTAAAAAATTTTTTTATTTAAAATTAGTCGATAAATATTCCTTTATGATTAGCAGACGTGAAATTTTCACAAATTTCCACGTATTTTCACGCAAAAAATAAAAAAAAAAATTTCCCATCAGCCGTACATTTGCAAGTTATGCAATTAGCAATACTTTGCCGTTTGACAAAAAGAGTATTTTTAAAAAAATTCCGATTAATAAAATCTGATGGAATTTGAATAATATACCATATAATGTGGCTAAAAACGGGAGGAAAAAGGGGGAAAAAGAAGGGGAAAGAAAAAGGGGGGAAGAAAACAAAACAAGGAAAACGTATCAACGTATTTATTTAAATTTATACAATCACAATTTATTTATTTTTTATACAAAATGTTTTTATGCCTACAATTTTTTTTTTTTTTTTCATTTTGACTTTTGATTCGATCACAAAAATTTTCTTTATTTATTTCATACGATCAAAAGACAAAACAAAAAAACGTTATCAGATAACGAACGCATCATCATTAAGTAAAAAAATTAATTCATTTATATATATCAATAATAATAATAATAAACAAACAAACAAGCAAACAAACACGGGATTCACATACGCTCGACGACACAAACGATACGAAAATACATAATAATAATAATTTATTTAATTTACAAAAATAATTAATCATTTATCTAAATTCCACCCCCCCTCCTTCCCCCTCCTCCCTCAGGCATCAAGTCAATAATAATATTTTTAAATATTTCGTTAAAACAAACGAAAACAACGACGACGACAACAACAACAACGACGATGGTGAACTTTGATATGTTGACACAGCTTTCGAACCTATTTGTATGTGATTTGAGGAAGATTCTGATACCTAAAATCGTCGTAGATAAACGACTTTATAAAAATTTATAAAAAAAAAAAAAATTACATTTTTTCTTAATCATCACGGATGATAATAATAATAATAATAATGATAATGATAATAATAAATAATCAACGTGATGATGACGTACCAATTTTTCCAAGGGTTGTAAATATATGTTTAACCAAGTCGAACTCGGATGTGTTACGTTTAATGGACTAACAGTGAATGGAAAACTTTGACTTTGGTAACCTTTTGCGGCGACCTGACGAACAAACAAACAAAAAAAAACGATGACGTCGATGATGATGACGTAGACAAGACAAGCGTAGTAAATTGTTTGCGTGTTTGCCGTTTATGATTGTTCGTCAATTAACGGCGTTAAAATAATAAAATCGTTTAATCCTTTACATTCGAGGATTCTGCGACAAACAAACAAACAGACAAACATTCGAAGGGTTTTCAACGACTCACCGTCAATATATAATATCCCGGAAGCAAAACTCTCCAAAATTCTCCATTTTTAGACGATGTGAAAGGTATGTGACGACCGGAAACGTATAAAACAGCTTCTGGAATGTAAGCGGAAGTCATTTTATCAACAACGATCCCTCGAACTCCCGTTTGTGCTTGTTTTATAAATTCCAACATGGCCTTAAAAAAAAAAATTTTAAACATTCATCATCATCATCATCATCATCATCATTGACGGCATTATTTATTAATAATAATAATAATAATAATAGGGGCCGCACAAAAGTAAACAAAAAATAACGTTCAAAGGTCTTTGTCGTAATCGAATTAAATAATAATAATAATAATAATAATAATAATCCGGAAGAGCCTTTTTTTTATTTATCGATTTTAATAATATTTAAAAAAACAAAAACAATGACAAATTTTTGTTGGAAAATGGAAAATGAATGAAAATTTTAGCAGAAGATATTTTACCCTTCTGTTTTCGTTCCATAATCTTGGTAAATGTATCGCCATTGGATATTTACAACAGGAAATTTCTAGAGTGAGTTCCATGCAACCGTGTGCTATGTAATTAAAATCTTGCATTCCACCTGCGAAATAAAATTTTTTTTTAAAAAAAAAAATATAAAGGGGAGAGGGGGTGGAGGAAAATCTCTCGTATTCGGGATGAATGACGTTAAGAAAAATTTATTATGCGGGGAACCACGGAAAATGCAAAATTTATTTAAATTTACCCGCAGATAATTTTTTCCTTCTCCTTGTCCCCATTTTTTTTTTTTATTGACCCAAAAAAATATTGACTCGTCGTGAATAATGCAATGTAATATCGATATATCGATATATCGATTAAAAATCGATTTTAATAAAAAATCGAATCGAAAATTTTTTTTAAATAGAAAAACAAATAAATAAATTTTTTTTTTCTTTTTTTTTTCTCTCTTTCTCAACGTAAATAATTTTTTTTTTGATTTTCCTTCCCCTGCCTTTTCTCCCCTTCTTCTCCCCTCCCCTCCCCCTTCCCTTCCTGTTTCAGGTACGATTAATTATCATTATTATTATTATTATTTAATTTTTTTTCCCCCTTTCTATCCGACAATAAATTAAATTTTCTCTTCATCTTTTCCTCATCCGTTGAATGTAAAAATCTTAGAAGGAGGTGAGGGAGTGAGGGGGTGTTCCCTCACCCCGGAGGAATGGGGGTTGGGTGGGGGTGGGAGTGAGAGAGGCACTCGTTTTCGTAAAAAAAAATAAAAATTTGATTTAAATAAAAACCGACCGTGAAATGAATACCAGGCAGCACCGTTTGTTATGCCCCCCGGAAAATGGGGTTGATTGTTATTGCAAGTCCTTCCCTGATGCATCGTCAAATGATTGTTCGAATAAGTCGATGCTAAATACCTGAAAACATCATCGTCAGGCGATGGTGACGGATGTGGTGCCAATAAATCCTGATCTGAAAAAATTATTACGTAATAAATAAAATGGTAAAATTCGTTAAATGCGACACGATTTCAAGCACAAAAAATCAATTCAAAAGGCCTCACAAGCGTTACTTCATAGAAGAAAAAGAGGAAAAAAACAAAATGGCGGAAAGAAGAATAAAATTCAATTTAAAGCTCAAGCTTTTCAAACTTTGATTAAAACGATTACTATTATTATTATTAACAAATAAACTTTTGAAAAATAATTATTATTAATAGAATTTTTGCGTTTTCTCATTATTATTATTATTAAAACAAACGAACAAACAAACAAAAGCAAATTCTATTATTATTATTATTATTATTATTATATGGAAAATGCATAATAATAATATTTATCGAACCCTCGACTGATAAATTTTTCCATATTTCCAAAACGTTTTCTCCTCCTTCTAATTTTTTCTTTATTTCAGCCAATAATAATTGAGTCCCTGGAAAAATTTTTTTTTTCCTTTTTTTTTACTGTTTGTTTAATAATAATAATGATGATGATGATGATGATGATGATGATGATGATGATAATAATGATGAAAATAAACGAATCGAATAGAATCGAATACTAAATAATTAATTTTTTTTTTAATCGAATTAAATTAATTCATATTAATTAATAATTATTATTATTATTATTTCGTTTTCAATTTAATTAAATTAATTAATTAATTAATAGATCGATTAATCGATTCGTTTTATTATTATTATTATTATTTATTAGATCGAAGGGATCGAAAGAATAAATAAATAAATAAAATTTTTTTTAATTTTTCGTTCCCTCCTTTGAAATTTTTGCCATAATTAAATTCCTACGTTCCCCGCCATTTTTCTTTTTTAATTTAATTTTTATTCTCTCTCTCTCTCTTTCTCCCTTCTCTCTCTCTCTCACTCTTCCCTTCTCTCTCTCTCTCTCTGTGTCCCCTTCTCTCTCTCTCTCTCTCTCTCTCTCTCTGTGTCCCCTTCTCTCTCTCTCTCTCTCTGTGTTCCCTTCCCTCTCTTCCTTCCCTTCTCTCTCTTCCTTCCCTTCTCTCTCTTCCTTCCCTTCTCTCTCTTCCTTCCCTTCTCTCTCTTCCTTCCCTTCCCTCTCTTCCTTCCCTTCTCTGTCTTCCTTCCCTTCTCTCTCTTCCTTCCCTTCTCTCTCTTCCTTCCCTTCTCTCCCTCTTTCCCTCCCTTTTTATTATTTTCCTTTTTTTCAATGTTTAAACAAAAACATCTAATCACGTTTGAGTAAAAATTTTTCGAATTTTTTCTTTTTTTTTGCTTTTCCCATAAATTTTTTTTTTTTTTTGTTAAGTTGTACGTACTGTACCGATGTGGAAATAATAATAATAATAATTATACCTTCCGGTTATAATTATGTAAATATTTATATAAAAATTACTTATTACGTCAACCGACGGAAATTAATTTAAAAAAATAAAAAAAAAAAAACGAATAAAAATGATTTATGTTATTTTACCGCCATTAAAAAAATAATATTAAAAAAACTTGGAATGTTTTAATGTTTTTTTTTTTTAAATACAAAATTGCGTGATTTACGTATCACGCACACACACACGCACGCACGCACACACGCGTAAATAAACATTAGTGATAAAGAGGAAAAGGAAAAACCGCCAATTTAACCGTCGATCGCCTTACACAAAAATATTTTTACATTTTTAATTACGTAACGGTTTTCCCCTCCCTTTTAATCCCTCTTCCTCTCTTCCCCCCCTCTCTCTTTCTCTCTTTTCCCTTAATTTAAAACCGCAAGAAACTTACCATTTCCCGGATTGCTGTCGTATGGATAATTGGCAACGAGTGCACCACCGTGAAAACTTACTGACAATACAAAAGGCACTTGAGCAAGCCAATTGGCAATGGCAAGTGTTTCCGGTTGTGGTGGTATTAAATTTTCAATGTATTGATCGGGAAAACTCCTGTTCAAATCCACAAAATTTTTATTTTCCCTAAGGAACAAACAAACAAACAAAAGAAAATTAACCTTTTGAACTTTTCTTTCAAAGTCGAAGAAGACAAAAGAAAAAAAAAAAACGTTTCCGTGAAATCACAAATGAAAATAAAAATGATCGAAAATATTAATAATAATAATAATAATAATAAATATTATTGATGTATCATCGATCGATCGATCGATGGATCGATTTATTAATCGCTTGAAAAATAAATAAACGAACGAACGAAAGATTTAAGATCATTCCAACGATTATTCATTTAAACGTGACGTCATAAAAATTTTTTCCCCCAGATTTTTTTAATTTGATTTTCCGAATATTATTATTATTATCATTACCTTCCCGGTCCGTAGTAACAATCTCCCTCTTTTGAACGTTCGAATCCATCGGGATTCATGCTTGGTAATAAATGTATTATAGTTCTATCCAAAATCCATTTTATTTCTGGATTCGTGTTGTAGTTTTTGAGAAGATACTGGAAAAACAAAAAAAAAAAACAAAAATCACATTTTGGAAAATTTCCCCCCTCGCGTCTCCCTCCTATCCCCTCCCCACTCTCTTCCTGGATTCGTTTGCATAACGTTTACGAAATGCTCTGGAACTTTATCAAAATCGAAGCCAATTCGGTCGTCGTTCGAATTTCGATCGAATTTCGTCAACGAAAACAAAAACAAAAAACTTGGCAATTAAATAAAAGAAATTAAGCAATCGTTCGATCAATCGATCGATCGATCGATTAATCGAACCTTTCCACTTCGTATTAAAATTATATTTTTAACGAAAAAAAAAAAAAAATCATTTTAGTTGTTTGTTGTTCATCGTACGTAAATTGAAACACGTTAACACAGTCTCGAACGAATAAATATGATAATTATTATTATTATTAAATTTGCGAACTAATTTTAAATAATTTACGGGCTTTTGTTCGGTGTGTGTGCACGCTATTATTATTATTAATTTGTCACGAGGTTAAAGGTCACGGGTGTTGAACGTTTTGTTACATTTCATTTTTTTTTTTTTTTTTTGTTTAAAATTCACACTTTTACATTTTGTTTTTTTCAATGTATTTTCAGGAAAAACAATTATTTAATAATTTAAATTATATTATTATTATTATTATTATTATTATTATTCGATTTCGTTTGTTTCTTTGTTTGTCTGTTTGCCTGTTTGTCGTTTGTTTAATTCATTCGTTCATCACGACGGTTTCAATTTTCAATGATATGACATGGTTGTAAAAAAAAAAAAAAAAAAAATCATACGAACGTTGAAAACGAAAATTTTTAATTTTTCTTCCGCGAGGGGGCGGGGGAGGGTGGGGGAGAGAGAGGAAATTTAACGGGGAGCATTATTAAAAAGTGAAAATTTTAATTTTAATTTAAAAAAAGAAAACTTACTTCGGCCAAATAAAGAATGAGTTCTCGACCGACAGGTTCGTTACCGTGTATGTTACCAACAAGTTTGACATGTGGTACACCAATAACGGGAGATCCTGGTGCCCGTATTCTAAGCACCCACAATTCTCTTTCTAAAAAAACAAACGATAATAATAATAATAATATTAACTTTTTATTTTCGTACAGGTTTAGCAAAAAAAAAAAAATAGGTCGTCGTTAAAAACGATTGCAAAACGAATTTTAAAAAAAAAAAAAAAGAACAAAACGAGCCTAAAAAAAAAAAAAATTCTTTTAATTTAATACACATATTTTTTTGTCTTCTGCTTTTTTTTCTTCTTCTTCTTTAGCACATCGTAAAATCATCATTATCATCATCATCATTATTATTATATTATTTCATATAATTTTAATTTATTTCAAACTAATGAATCGCCTTGAAAACAAATCCATAACAGATACTTAAAAAATTTTTTTTTTTTTTTTTTTTGATATTCTACTTCCACTTTCTTTTCTCGTTATCCACGCACACGCACACGCACACACAAAAAATTAATACCTGTGCGTGTGCGTGTGTGTTGAAATTAAATAACCTTGAACTTATTTTTTATTAAATTTATAATTTTTTTGTTCAACGAAAAAAAAAGTTGAAAAAAAACTTACGTTCGACGGATTGTCCGATCGTATATAAATTAACAAAATCCGAATAATTTTGTGATATTTCGTTTAAAAATTGAGTCATTTCGTTATAGGTATGATACCTGGGTGTTAAATTGGGTACATTTTTTATCATAGGTATCGGTGTTATCAATATACAATCCGAATAATTTATTAAAATTAAAAAAAACAACGAAAAAAACCAAAACAACATCGTGTCGAATAATGTCGCGTGTCTTCGTATGATAATTTTCAAAATTTGGCGGGAAATTTAAACTGCGACCACGACTTTTTTTTTTTTTTACACCCCGAAAAAAAAATAAAAAAATTTTTTTTTAATTTCACAAACTCGCGACACAATCACTCGAATCAACAAAATAATTTTTTTTTATTTAAACAAATTGAAAAAAAAATTGTTTTATATAATAATAATAATAGTAGCGTACATTTTGTTTAAATAAATGTCTTTTTAAACAAAAAAAAAAAAAATTCACTTTCGTTACGACAAAAACTTTACGACGACGATAAGTTAAAATCTTTTAAACATGAAACGTGACACGTTCATACGAGAATGAAGAATTAAATACTAAAAACTGGTAGAAAACTTCATTAGACCCACATTTATATGTTTAGCCTTCGGTGTTAACCTAAACACAAAGCCTAAATCAATTCTCTCTCTCTTTCATTACACACACCACCACCATTTTTATTCATTGCCTCTACCACTTTTCCTTTATTAAAAAAAAAAAAAAACTAAACTTATTATTTTCCCTTTCTATATCCCCCTCCCCCCCTCCCACCCCCACACCTCCCCACTCTCTCTCTCTCTTATTGAAAAACCGTTGTTGAAATCGATATGGTTTTTTTTTTTTTTTTTAATCACCACCACCATTACAACAAAGAGGGCTGTTTTATTATTATTATTATTAATTACGGTTATATTTATTACATTTCGATTGACGTAACGAAATGACGTCACATTTTATTATTATTATTATTTAAAAAATTTTTCTCACTCGAAAGTCGTTTGCTAGCGAAAATTTTTTTTTTATTTTTCTTACTCCCTTCTTACCCCCAAACTGGATAAATAAATCGATCGATCGATATATCGATAAATCGATTCTTTAATAATAATAATAATAATTATGTGGTAAATGCATAATAATAATAATAATTTCGATAATAAAAAAAATTAAAAAGATTTAAATCAAAATCGATGAATCGGAAATAAAAAAAATTATAAATAAATAAATAAGGTCGGTAATTTTATAATAAAATTATTATTATTATTATTATTATTATTATTATTATTATCATTTTCATTTTTATTATTATTATTACAATTTTTTGTTTAAATATAAAAAAAAAAAAAAAAAAAATTTAAACAACTGACATTCGAAATACTATTCCATCGTGAAATACGCGAACGAAGGTCGTTTAAAACCTGTCGAATTAAAATACGTACGTTATAACAACCGACAACAACCGACAAACGATAACAAACGACAAACCAAAAAAAAAAAAAAAAAAATATTTATTGTACTTTTTGTTATAATGAGTTTTGTATTTTGGGGTCAATCAACAACAACAACACCAACAAAATTAAACAACAACGTTTCACATTCATTTGTTTTATTATTATTATTATTATTATTATTATTATTATTATTATTTAATAAGTTTTATAAATAGTTAATGATGATGATGATGATAATAATAATCGAATGAAATTTTTTTTTTTTTTTTTTTTTGAATGAAAATTTTAAAAATCGTTTTTATAAATAAATTTATTTATTTCCAAGTTATTTATATGGTGATAAGTGATTTTGAGAGAACGCGACGTTTATTATTATTATCATCATCATTATTATTATTATCATTATTATTATTATTAATTATTCGTTTGATTTTTTTAAAAATATTTTTTCGTCGTCGTCGCCTTCCGCCATATTTTTTTTATAAAAATTTTTTTTTCAAAACGTCAGCAAGAATTTTCCGATCGATTTTTGTTTTTATTTTTCTTTGATCCAAATAAAAAGAAAAAGAAAGAGAGAAGAGAGAGAGAGAGAGAGAGAGAGTGTTAAATGGAAAAAAAAAAATTCTGTGACTTTCTAGAAAAAAAAAATCCGGAATGAGAACAAGAAAAAATTTAACGGTTTTTTTTTCCCTCCACATCTCCTTTTTAAAATAAATAAAATAATAATAATAATAATAATAATTAGCAGACGAATAAAATCTGAGAAAAATGGAAAGTTTGTCTCTCTCTCTCTCTCTCTCTCGTTTTGGAAAACCCATAAATAAAATTTAATTAGAAAAAAAAAAAAAAAAAACTTGTATGACGTCAATGTCGAATTTTTTTTTTTCTTCATTTCATATCAAAACACAATCTATCATTATTATTATTACTTATTTATTTATTTAAAAAATAAATAAATTGATGGCAAATGTAAATTTTCAATTAAAAAAAAAAAAATAATAATAATAATAATAACAAACGACGAAAACAAAATTTAAGAGAAAAAAACAAACAGAAAGAAACAGAAAGTTTTGTCGTTAATTAATTTTTTAATAATAAATAAATATTATTAAAATTTTTTTTTAAAAATAAATTAACAAAAAATGAACCTAATAATAATAATAATAAGGTATTTCGGGTACGTTAAAAAAACAACCTTGAATTAGTATAAAATACCTGGGGAAATAAAAAAAAAAAAAAAAAAAAAAAAACTGAACAAAACTTGGAACACAATAACCGGTTACAATTTTTTTTTTTTTTTTTTTTTCACGTGAGAAAAAACAAAAAAATATTTAAAATTTTTTAAATCGAACGAACGAACGATCGAACAATCGATCGATCGATCAATCGATCGATTCGATTATTTAAAAAAATATTTTTCTATTATATAAATATAATATTATCTCAATGAAATCCTTGAACGTAATTATTATAATGATAATAAATTCAAACCCGGAAGTTAATAATTATTTGTT